AAATGCAAAAAAAAAAAAAAAAAAAAAAAAAAAAAATCCATTAATTTTTGACTTTCTAATATAAAATATGAGTAAGCAAAACAAGGGCACCATCTTTAACGATATTATTCACTATATAAAGTGGATATTAAGTGTGTCTAGTATACCAGAATATTAAAATCGTCCATATTGCATAATTGGGACGTGCCTGGTGCACCTTATACTGACCAAATTGTATGCATTCTCCACCATTTGATAGTGGAATTTAATTTCTTGCGAAAGTAGGTGTAGATTGACAATGAAAGGTTGATATAATATTCGGCATTCATTTTAGTTGATGGGGGAGACAATATACATGGCAAATTTTGCCCTTTCTTTTGTACCACTAAAAACGTGGACCATTTTTTATTTCTATCACGTGCTTGGAGAAATCGAAAAATGGTATTTAACTTAATTAAAAAAACAAATTTCATCATTAAAAAAACTTCTATTTGATTACGGAATCTTTCATTTGATCTTGTAGAATCTTTGTAGTTGTCTTGACAATTTTTTTTTATCTTTCCTCATCTCTCTCCTTTGAAATTGGCACCTAACGTTAGCCTGAATCTTTTTTGAAACACAGTAAAGCGCGAGTGGAAGTTTAAATGGGGGGACAAAAATCAGAATCAATGGCACGCAAATCTAAAAGAAGAAAAGACAAAAACATCTCTATTCAAAACTGAGGATAAGGAAAAATATTGCAAGTTGCAAAATTGTGTAAATATTTGGAAGCCCGTAAATTTTGTCTTTTTATAAAAGAAATTAAACGAAGAGTAAAAATGAGAAGAAATATAAATTTTAAGAGATAATTTTATAAAATAAAAATTTTAAGAGGTATTGTATAATTTTTTTCATATATACATATAAAAATATATAAATTGAGTATATATATAATAGTAAGTAGGGCCAGGTCAGGGAGTACATCCACCCTGGGCATATACTGGCTCCGCCCATAGATGTGACAATATGTTTAATTTAGTTTTGAGTTTTAGGTTTGTTTGATAGAATTGAGAATTTAATAATTAATTTTTTTAAGAGATTAACTTTACACAATCTCCTATGATGTTCATGGTTTTTCTTAAAACGCGTTCAGATGCTTAAGGAGTGTCCATACATATAAATGACAGAAAAGTCTCCTTTTAGGAGGCGATGTGGGATGTCAAAATCACCACTTGGGATCCAATATCCTCGTTGGACTGACCCACATAGGCTTGTGCATGCTTCCTATTTTCGACTGGGTATTGGCTCTAATGCCATTTGTCACCACCTGCCCCATACCTTGTAGATATTACCCGCTTTGTACACTTACCTCTCGGTATTTACAGTTTTCCTCAAAATGTACATACATGATTAAGAAATGTCTACACAAATAAATACCAAGGAACTTCTCCCGCAGACGATATGGGACATCACACATATGCATAGGATGGCCCAGTATACAAGAAAGAGTGGAGATTCATATGGAGTGGGATGCACTCGACTATGAGGATCACAACCAATGGAGAGTGATTTCCACCCTCTCTATATGCGTTGATACATCTAAAGCACATGAGGGAATCCTAATTCAAAATTATTAGGATTGTGTCTCAAATTAATTCTAATTGTAATTAGGTTTCTATTTTAGAGTTATATTGTATTAGGTAATTTCTTGGTTGGCAAGTACGGGGGTTCTAAGGAATTGTAATTCTTGTCAAACAAGAAATAGAGTTTTGGACACTATAAATAGATATCTAGGTTATAATTGAAAGGTATGAGTTGAGATGTAGTTTTATGTCGGAGTTGATGTGTAAAGGGAGTTTAAGGGTTTGGTAGAGAGCACTAATGACGAGGGAAAGTCTCGTGGAGTAGTACCCATTGTAAAGCTCGAGTATCTGTCAATTTACCTTGAAGTAGGAGTTTGTGTGTATGGTCCGGTACTCATTATTCTCTTCTGTTGTAATATCTCTAGATGATTATAGTGGAATATCCGCATCCATGGATGTAGCCCAGATTTTGGGTGAATCATGTAAATCTTATATTTCTGTATGATTGCTTTATTTTATTCTATCTTTTGTTGGATCTCAATGTTTTGTTCACTTTTGTTATGCCCACAAGTGGTATCAGAACCGATGATTCGGCTTAGGATATATGCTCAGAAGGTTCATAAAACACAAAAATTCTCAACAGGTTTTGAAACGAGTTTCAATTGAAGATGGAGTCAATCAATCGGCGTTTTTGGTCATGATAATCAAAAAATCATGATAGGTTACATAACATGAAGCTCAAGTAGTCAATACGAAGCCTCGAAGGTTTAACGGATGGAATAGTGTATAGTGGAGACAATCAACGTTTTGCAAGAGGTTAGTCAAGACAGAAGCTGCAAAGAAATATTTGGATCAATGTCGTGGAGCAGTGATTAGCGTGATGAAATTTAAGCCAAGGTTGACTTGATCATCAACACATCAAAACCAATAGCTATGGTTTTGGATCATCGGGCCTTCGTCTTGGATAACCAAGTCTTGTTGCCTAGTCTCGGAAGAACAGTCTTCTGTAGCAAGAGGGGAAAGGTACTGGCTAGCGAGTGAGACCTGGCTTTGACTAGCCAAAGAAATCAAGGACTTGGATGGCTTAAAAGTTTGAGTAAAAAAAAAAAAAAAAAAATTAAAAGTTACTGAAATCTGATTTTTCGCACAATCAGGAAAGTGCAACCAGTGCTACTTAACGTGCAACCGATTGGACTTTGGCAGAATTGAAAAAGTGGATTACGGGCAAGTGCAACTGGTTTTACTTTAAGTGCAACCGGTTCCACTTTGGCATACTTGAAAAAAAATACTTAGAAAATCTGTTATGGCAAAGTGCAACTTGTTCAACTTTTCCAAACTTCAAATTTTTTAATAAAAATTTATTTTTCCAAAGTCTTACCGCACAAAACATTAAATATATAGTGCCCTCACTCGCACACATGTTCTAAATGATGTTCTCATTGAATCAAAATATGCTTACACTTGTTATTCCACTCCTGACATCAAGACTCAAAGTAAAGCAAAAATTGTAACTCAGACACATTTTGACACTAAAAGTTGCCTTGTATAAAATTTATATCACATATCTCGTTACCCATTAATACAATTTTATTGAATTTTTTAAAATCATTTAACTCATTCTTCACAATAAGATTCCATATGGGTGTGCGTGACAAACTTAACATCCAATAATCAAAGTATACTGACATTTAGACCTAAGAGTTAAGGAGAGTTCTTTGACCAAATATATTTGATTGGTCATTAATGCAACATATAAAAAAGTAAAGGATCTCAATTTTTTATATTTGACATACATTGATTAATTAAAAGTAACAGTTAAAAAATTCATCAAAGTGACAAAATTGTCATTATTTATTATTACTAGAATATATATTTATATGGAATTGGTGGGATGTGTAGATATTATAAAGTAATTTATTTTATTTTATTTATATTCTAAATAATATATATTTAAAATGGTGTACATGAGTTTGATATACTTTGGATATGTAAATTTCTATTTTGTTAACTGGAACTCGATTTTACGTATTTTATCATGTTTGAACATATACCCAAAAGTTCAATAATATCTTTTAACCACACTATTTTTTTTCCGAAAGAACAACAAACTTCATTCAAGAGCAGAAACATTACTGTCATAATTTAGAGAAGTCATGGGGATAGACATCCCAATCAACTTCCCCACTCTGATTTTGAAGTGCAAATCTACTTAGACAATGAACAATCTTATTACAGGACCTTGAACACCAACTCAAAACCCACTTTTGATGAAGATTAAGAAGGTGTTTAACCACACCATAGTTACCTATGATTGCGTAACCAAATTTAATTTTATCCGCACAAGTTGTAATATTATAATAACTAGGTTATTACTAGTTTGTCAACTTTGATTTTTCTTTCTTTTTTTCTATTTCATAGTACATTGTGATGGCGATTGGAAGTGAGGTTAGCGTTTGGAGAACAAAAGGGAAGTTAACAAGGATGGTAAGATGTTGAGAACGAGGAGATAGAACACCTATAAAATATTTCTGGGAGATGAGAGGTTATATTCTAGATTTTTTAATTTGTACAGTAAAATTAATAATTTGTTTACTATTTAGCCTTTTCTACATATTCTAGATTTTTAATTTGAAATTTTCATCCAATAATGTTTAGAAATGTCATTTTTGCAAATGCCTAGATATTTTTCTCAAATCTTCCCTCCTCTTTTGGAGTTCTCTAAATAAAAAAATAAAAAACCATTGAATCAAATTTTTATCAAAAGAGAGACACGTGGAGTATGTACATACTATAGTGGCAGTCCGGGTTTGATTTGGTGCAACAATTACTTGAGATCAGATTGGCTCATGACCTTGAGATAAGAGTTGATTCCAAAGAAATGCAAAAAGAGTAGAGCCGTAGAGGGGCTAAAACGTTACAGAAAATGGTACATTTTAACCTATAGGGACTAAAATGTTTGGGCAACATAATTGCCTACTGAATTACTTCAACTATTTGTGAAATGCCTTAGTAATTCAGCAATTGGGTTCCTCCATTGTCCTTGAGAGCCCCGATTGTGAGCCTTCACACCTCTAACTTCTAATCTAACATTCTTGCCTTGGAATATATATATATATATATATATATATATATATACTTGAACTATATTTGCCACAAATATGCAAATGGTGCTGCAAACTGGCAAGTGTACTCAGAAAGAAAATTACACCATTTTGAGGCTGCTTGAACAACTGCAGCAGCTATACAATGAATGAGAATGTTTAGGAAAACTATCAATGTGGGAATTGCATCTCAAATTGATTTCTATTGTAATACATAATGTTGATTATGAATCTGATTTCGTTTTTAATGGGACAAATATGAAACAATTCTCACCTCAATGCCATGGATCCAAAGCTGTTATCTCATACTACATTTTCTGCAACGGCCGAGCAATAATAGAGGAATTAGAAGCATGCTATGCTACCCTCATGAGACAATCTGAGAGGATGCAAGTTATGAATGTTATGATTAAACAGTGGTTCAAGCCTCAGCTTACAAATTCCAACACATTATATTACATACTGCACATCCGAGACATAGTATTCCAACTGATAGTATTATTAGACTAATTCAGTAACATGATACATAAACAACATATATTGACAATAGAAGACTTATGGGATGACACGAGAAACCATGACATTACGATATTATCAAGTAAAATGAGAGAGAGGACAGACCACCACATCTAATCCAGAATTATACCTTTTCCACTTGTTCATCTTCCTCGCTCTCACTCCAACAGCACTGTAGGGTGGACCTCAGGACCTGGGACACCCACAGCCACCATCGTAAAGCTAAGGTAATGAATGACCTCCCTCTGCCAAGCATTTTGTAGCTCCTTTCTCTGCAGCTGTATCCTTTCACATTCAAAGTGATCTAAGGACAAAGTTTCTTACCCACAACATTAGTGTGCAATGCCATAGAAAACTCACTTGGTTGGAAGAAAGTCAACACCCTGTTCATCAAGTTCGACAAATTTACAACTTTGAAATCATAATCAACTGCTTCAATGTAACCACAAGGATCAAACTCAAAATCACATGTATAAGAATCTGGAGGAATCATCCTAATACCAGAACCTGAGTCATTGCAGCTGTGGAGCTTGCATGAGTCTTGTAAAGCACAGATGCCTTCTAACTGTTCAAACCGGTTATGCACATCTCCAGGGTGTAAACCACATCAGAAGGATTTGCAAACTCAGCAGAAGCACAGCAAACATGCCATTTCTGTTGCTGGTCAACAGTACCCGCCACATAAGCGTTACTTCCAGAACCAAGCTCACCAAAATAGCTATCAAGAACAGCTACCTCCTCAGAGAAACGACGGTGTGGAAAAAAGGCTGAGCCCTAGAAAATATAAAGCATCCACAAGTGTACCAAACAGTTTTCACAGAGAGGGAAAGAGAAGCAGGTAGATTTAGGATGGGTGGGATTCACAGAAACAAATTTGTTCCACTTGTTTTGACTAGGTTTGAGAAGGGTACACAGGCTAGACTCTGAAAGGACATAAGAATCAACATGATCATTCAAGAACGAAGCAACAATAGTGCATTTCAGCAGACTGTAGGATTTCATCCAATTGGGAACTGTATAAAGATCGGAGGCCCCTGCCTTCAGGATCAACAAAGATGCCAGGCTCGAAAAATGATATCTAATACCCTTCAAATCCAATTGCAGATATGGGCAAGGCCATCATGCCTTAAAGGAAAGAAATGCTAACAAGAGGGTGAGAAAAGAAGAAAAATAAATAAATACTAGAGCAGAAAATTTGAATGTAAACCACCTTTGGTGGCTATGTTGCAACTTGGAGAATCTCAGGATGATTTCCGCAAACACAGAATACGGGATTAGACGTTAGCTTGGGTAGCCTTTTAAGGCTTCAAATTTCGTCGATCAAGTAACATGCTGAAATGAATCATATTAGAACTTTGGAGTAAGCTGATCTGAACTTCTTGATTCCACCATGGGGTTGACCATTTTCAATTCTATAACCTAGGGGAGCTTTGTAAAACAATGATTTACTACTACTAGACTTCTTCTTCTTCCCACCTTTAGACTCCTTGCGATCTTCAGTCCTTCCTTTTCCAACAATCAAAACCTAAAATCAGAACCTGTCTCAAAGAGTGACTAAACTAAGAACTGGTTCTATAAGCAAAACAGCAACCACCCAAACAACTATGCATTTCAACAATGAATAGTGCCCTCTGCATATCATAAACATTACGTGTTCCCTGCATGCAAATATGATTATGACATGCAAAGAAACATCTAGCAGAAAAAGAAGAGACTTAAAGATGGACAACAATGTAATCATCATTCGAGTCACAAAGGAGAAACAAGAATATCACAACAACATTTATGAAGCTCTATATGTTCTAATGCATTACAACATGTTTAAGAGCATTTTAGCATAATGTGAACAGCCTCAGTTCAATTCAGATTCATTTAAGGATACAAAAATCACATAAATGTCCTATGGAAAAAGTGGATTCAATTGCTAAACATGAGTTTATTTTGTTACTGTTACCATTTAAATATCACCTTATCCAAATCAATAGATTTTATTTTCAGAAGCAACGAAAGTTTTATGCTTGGCACAAAAAATTCTGAAATTAATGAAATTAATCACAAATCATAAGCAAAGTTTTAAACGAATTAAAAATAAATTTAGAGATATAATTCTCCAGTACTAATAATAATAAGATTTCCACAGGAAAAAATAGCCAGTCACATTAATGAAGCCATGGCTAGAAGGGGAACAAATAAAGGCTGAAGGAAACAGAGTAAGAACAAAAGCAAAATAGTAAAATGGTTCTGCTCAGATTCATGAGAGATAGGGAGAGAGAGAGAGAGAGAGAGAGAGAGAGAGAGAGAGAGAGAGAGAGAGAGAGATTGAGAGAAATGTGTATCTTGTCTCACTCACTATTCAGCCCTCTAAATAGGGCTTATATAAAGAACAAGGGTTAGACACCCTAATTACACAATTACACAATAACCCTAAATACTATGGGTAATTACATAATGACCCAACATTATAAAGGATATACATTCTAACACTCCCCCTCAAGCTGGAGAATATATATCAAATAATCCCAGCTTGGAATAAATAGTCCTTAACCGATTATGACCCAGTACTTTGGTAAACATATCAGCTAATTGATCTTCAGACTTCACAAATGGAGTAGAGATGCTACCACTTAATATTTTTTCCCGAGTAAAATGACAATCAACCTCAATATGTTTGGTTCTCTCATGAAACACAGGATTCGATGCAATGTGAACTACTGCTTGGTTATCACAGAACAATGGAGTAGGAGTTTCAACTATCAACCCAAGTTCTTTTAGGAGATTTTGTATCCATGTCACCTCACTAGTGGTATGTGCCATTGCCCTGTACTAGGAGTTTCAACTGTCAACCCAAGTTCTTTTAGGAGATTTTGTATCCATGTCACCTCACTAGTGATATGTGCCATTGCCCTGTACTCAGCTTCAGCACTAGACCGAGCTACCACCGTTTGCTTTTTACTTTTCCACGTAACAAGATTTCCTCCTACAAATGTGCAGTAGCCTGTAGTAGATCTCCTATCTGAAAGAGAACCAGCCCAGTCAGCATCTGTAAAACCTTCCACCCTGAGATGACCATTTGATTTGTATAGTAACCCAAAACTTGGAGCTCGCTTGAGATATCGGATAATCCGAAGAACAGCAATCCAATGTGGCATTCTAGGAGCTCCTATAAACTGACTTACAACGCTAACTGCATATGAAATATCAGGTCGAGTGATAGTGAGGTAAATTAATTTCCCAACAAGGCGGCGAAATCTGCCTGGGTCATTAAATAGATCACCCTCATCAGACACAAGTTTTGTATTTGAATCCATAGGAGCATCAACTGGACGACCACCTAACATACCCGTTTCTTCTAGCAAATCCAACACATATTTCCGTTGAGATAAGCTTATACCTTCCTTGGATCTAGCAACTTCAATACCCAAGAAGTACCTAAGTTTACCCAAGTCTTTAGTGTGGAATCGATTTTGCAGAAACAACTTCAACTTAGCAATGCCTGCAGAATCATCATCTGTGATCATAATATCATCTATATACACCACAAGAAAAATAAAGCCAGCTTTAGTGCACAGGTGAAATACCGAATGATCGATCTGGCATTTGTTAAGACCAAATTCTAATGCCGCCTCAGAGAATTTCCCAAACCAAGCCCGTGGAGATTGTTTCAATCCATATAGGGCCTTTTTAAGACGACAAACAGTGTGACGATACTCTCCCTGAGCAACAAACCTAGGTGGTTGCTCCATATAAACTTCTTCAACCAGGTCACCATGTAAGAAGGCATTTTTGACATCCAATTGGAACAACGGTCAGTTACAATTGACAGCAATGGAAATAAGAATCCGAATAGAAGAAATCTTAGCAATAGGAGAAAAAGTCTCATCATAGTCAACACCATAAGTCTGAGTGTATCCCTTTGCCACTAGGCAAGCCTTCAACCGCTCAATAGACCCATCTTGAAGGTATTTAACTGTGTAAACCCACTTACAACCAACCGGTTTGGAGCCGGGAGGTAAGGGAACAAGATCCCATGTCCCATTACGATGAAGGGCATCCATTTCATCTACCATGGCTTGTCGCCAACCCAAATCAGAGAGAGCAGCCTGCAAAGTCTTTGGAACAAAAGTAGCAGATACTTTGGATAAAAAACAAGATAAAGAGGATGAAATATGACGATAGGAGACAAAGTTAGAAATGGCATATGCAGTAACACACAACCGAATACCTTTACGAAGGGCAATAGGCAAATCATCAGGTAAAGTCGTCAGATCCGAAGACTCTGAAGGTGATGGAGGGAGCGAAGTAGGCGAGCGAGGTCGTCGAGTATAAACCTGCAATGGGATAGCAGAGCGAGGAGGTGCGGAAACAAGAAACTGAGAGGGAACCGATGGCAGAGGTGGCTCAGAAGTAATATCAAGAGGAGTAGTAAAATCAGAAAAATATGGGATAGACTCAAAAAATGTTACATCAGCACTAGTGAAATAGCGTTGGAAATGAGGACTGTAACAACGATAGCCCTTCTGAGTGCGTGAATACCCAAGAAAAACACATTTAGTTGCACGAGGGTCAAGTTTATCAAGACCAGGTCCAAGGTTATGGACATAACCCACACAACCAAAGACCCGTGGAGTCAGATTAAACGAGACGGAGTCAGGAAATAGAACAGAATGAGGAGATTTACCCTATAGCACTGACGAGGGCATCCTATTAATAAGATGACATGCCGTAAGAAGAACATCACTCCAAAAACGTTTGGGAACATGCATATAAAATAAAATGGCACAACAGACTTCCAGAAGATAACGATTTTTACGTTCAGCTACTCCGTTTTGCTGCAAAGTATAAGTACAAGAAGATTGATGAATGATGCCCTTAGTATGAAAATAAGTCTCAAACGGGTCTGAGAAATATTCTTTGGCATTGTCAGAATGTAAAACTTTAATGGAACACCCAAATTAAGTTTTGATTTCTTTGTGAAATATTTGAAAAATAGAAAACAACTCAGAATGATTTTTCATTAAAAACAACCAAGTCATCCAAGAATGATCATCCACAAAAGTCACAAAACTAACGAAATCCATTAATAGAAATATGTTTTATTGGTCCCCATACATCTGAATGAACTAATTGGAAAGGACTAGCCACACGATTATTAGCTCTTGGTTTAAAAGATACACGACAATGCTTACTAAGCTGACATGTTTCACAAGACATAGACTTGACATGACTAAAACCGGGAACTTGATGCTGCAGAACTGATAGTGAGGGATGGTTGAGACGACAGTGCCACTAGAAAGAAGACAAAGATGATTGAAAAGCTGTGGGAGATGGTACAAGATCGAAGTAATACAGGCCACCTACTTCATGTCCCGTACCAATCCTCTTCTTCGTCTTGAGATCCTGGAAAAGACAACATGTGGGATAAAATGTTACAGAACAGTTAAGAGATTTAGTAATTTTACTAATGGACAACAAATTAAAAGGGAATTGAGGAACATATAACACAGAGGAAAGGGACATAGAAGGGGTAAGATGAACAGTTCCCAAACCCAAGACTTTAGTTGATGATCCATTAGCAAGAGTAACACTTTGAGAGGAAGGAACAGACTGAAACTCAGATAAGAGATGAGAACTACCAGTCATGTGATCGGATGAGCCAGAGTCAAGAATCCAGGGACTCTGACTAGAGGACAAAAGACATGTAGGGGCACTACCTGATTGAGCCAAGGACCCCATGGAAGATGAGGTGGAAGTCCGTACTCATCTCGGGGAATCGTGACCATAGCAGGCTCAACAGCCACATGTGGAGCAGTGGATGTGGTAGAGAGAGAAGAATCCCCATCACTAGAAGTCACTTGATGTGCATAGGAAGAAGATGACGGTTTCCCGTGACGATCCCAACAGTAATTGATAGTGTGATTAGTAAGACCGCAGTAAGTGCAAACTTTTGAGTCTCTACCTTTGCCTCGACCATGGCCACGGCCACGGCTGAAACGACCACCACTACCACGTCCACGAGAAGACTGAAAGCCACCCTGGTTTACAACTAAGGCAAAACGTTCACTGCTAGAAAGGGCAGTGACACCACTGGAAGCATTTCCTGAAGCACCACTAGATAAAGTGGCAAGCTGGAGTCTGGATAACATATCAGGTAGAGAGGGAAGTGTAGGGCTACCCAAAATCTGTGCACGAACAGGTTCATACTCTTGTGACAATCCTGTGAGAACCCGAACAACATTAAAATCCTCACGTTGCTGCTGCATGCTTTTCACATCAGAGGTGATGGGCTGATACATATTCATTTCTTCACACAGTCCCATTGCCCGTGAGAGGTATTCTTCTAAACTGTGAGTCTCTTGATGAAGGTCAAAAAATTGTCTACACACCTCATAAATTCTGGTTATATTACCAGCACCAGAATATAACTATTGGAGTCGGGTCCATATCTCCTTGGCAATGTCCAGATATAACAAGTTGGAGCTAATATGAGGTTCAATACAAGTCAGCATTAAGGAGATGATATGAGCATCCCTTTGTTCCCATGAACTAAAATTAGCATCACTGCTTTTAGGTTTATCTTGAACCAAATGATTGCCAAAGCCTTTGGCTTTCAGGAAAATGGCCACTGACTTAGCCCATAAAATGTAATTTTTTCCATTAAGCTTGACTGAAGTCATGGGAGGATTAAAGGATGCAGGAGATAGGAGATCTGAACTGGAAGCCATGGAGAAGATAAAAAAACGAACCTGGGAAAAATACAGAATCGGAACCGGGTCGGATCTGGATAACTGGATTGGATCAAAAACAGGTCTCTGCTATCCCAGTTTTAGTAAACCAGGATTGGAATAGTGTAGCCGCGTAACCAAACAGGGGTGTTCTTATTCACAATCCCACCAACAGACTCCGGCAAGCACACAGCGGCGACACCACACAACTTCCGCAACTTCCGACAAAGAAAAAAAGGCAGAGATGAAGCTTCACCTCTGCAAATGACGACGGTGGGTGTCGGCGATCTTGCTGACGATCGACGCGGCAACAACACAAACGGCCAAGGGGCTTCAGATCTGACGGCGACGAAGGAGGCTGCAGATCTGACGACGACGACTACGGGCTTCAGATCTGACGGCAACTAAGGACGATGACAGCTTTGAGTGATGTTCTCAACCTACCGGCGACATGAACTTCCGGCAAAACCACCGACGACATACGATTCCAGTCGCTCTCATACAAGGGCAACACACTTGTCGTTTCCCACACCCATGAATTTATACCGCTTTGATACCATGTTCAGATTCATGAGAGATAGGGAGAGAGAGAGAGAGATTGAGAGAGATGTGTATCTTGTCTCACTCACTATTCAGCCCTCTAAATAGGGCTTATATAAAGAACAAGGGTTAGACACCCTAATTACACAATTACACAATAACCCTAACTACTATGGGTAATTACATAATGACCCAACATTATAAAGGATATACATTCTAATAGGTTCCAACCGTAGTACTGTTTGTATATGTTTCAATTAATGAAATGGAGGCATTGTATGAGCTGTACAAGAAGTTAAGCAGTTCGATATAGATGATGGCCTAATACACAATGTATAGTGATATAATGAATTCAATCAATTTCTTGTGTTGTGTTATTAATTTTGTTGCCAGATTTTCTTATTTTTGTTGTCTGATTTTCTGATGTCAAAAGAAAACATTTTGGTACATGCACGAGCTTAGGACCATGATCTAGACACACAAAAAGGCGCATCTTCATGCACATTGGCTTCTAAGTTTAATTATAAACAGCCATAAAATTATCATTTTGTTAAGGAGGGGCTCTACCTTATATGTTTTAAATTTTAACAACAAAAAAAAGCATCTACTTTTAAATTTTTTTATTTTTTTTAGAACTTGATGGTTCTTTTGATTCTGAATATTTAATGAAATAAAATGAGACATATTTCAAAATTTCATAGTTTCTATAAGCAGTGACACTAACAGATTCAAACCGGATTGTGGAAGTTTGCAACTGTTCTGAAACTGAGGATTCTAATATGCAAAGAAGTTTCAGACCTGTACATTAAGATTTTGTTTAACATTGTGAGTATAACCACTGTGAAGCAATGATCTCCAATGGAAAATTTTATGTTTTCAAGAGAGGATCAGGCTGGAGCGTAGGGATTGGCTGCCACCCCCAAACACCATCATATGAACGATGCTTTGAAGGATAGCAAAATAGTCAGTCTCTACAAAAGAAGGCAAACTTCCTGCTGCCAAAGTGAAATTCATTGAGGTTATGAGCTCCTAGTCCCTAAACATGAAAGAGACTAACTAGCGACAACATTTTAACAGGAACTTAGAGGTTAAGGTCAATAGGTAAAATGTAGAAGTGGCCCCGAGGATTATCTAAAAATCAGTCAGATTAAATTTGTTGACAAACAATACAAATAAGTTAAAAACTAAAATCAAATTGGATTCTGCAGTATGTAGCGCTTCTAAATTCAAACTGTGCATTTACACAAATAGTTGAAATCCTGGCTTCAGTCACTAAAAAATCACAAAACTTGAAGTTAAGACGGTTCTATAATCTACCAATAGTAAGGAGAATTACTGCCAATTAACAGTGAAGTCCACATGTCTGTCAATGATAGATGAGGATGCACTAACCCTTTTGAGTGTGAGACTAGTCACTCTTGTTTAAGAGAACCCGACATGGAACCAGGTGGTCATTGTGAACGATAGACCTTGATGTTTGGCCAACCAATTTGTTTGTTAACACCATTCACTTGTGGGTTCATATATTTGTGAAGTTGTGAACCAAATGTTCATGAACTCGAAAGATCCATCTTGATGCATAAAATATGATGAAAGGTATCTGCCGACACCCCCATAAAGTGATAAACTAGAGCCTGCAACTTTAAAGTTATCACCAATTTTCCTTTAAGACAGTAATTTCAACTGCTGGATATGCTTGAATGTATTTTTTGAAATTAGGCCTCTATCAACCACACGATCCCAAAAAATATCTAAGGCGGCATGGTCACCAGCATAAGAAGCACTGAAACTTTTGTAGATCTTGAGTGTTATCATCAACCTCCCTTTGTACATTTCATCCAACATATCTGAAGAAGCAACCATGTTACCTGCTTTCATGTAAGCATATGCCAAACTAGTGCATACAACACTATCTCCTAATATTCCCCTCCCTTGCATTAGATTGAATATTCTTTGAGCCCAGTCAACCTTCTCTCTCTTACAAAACCTTCGTATTAGTGCCCTGTACACTGAGACGTCAAGGCAGATACCTCTTTTAACAAACTCGTCCAGCAATTCTATTACCGCTTCTTCATTTTGTCGGTAGCAGTAACCATCCACAATCCATGAATACGTGCAATAACTTGGAGAAAATCCAGCACCAAGCATGTCAAATAACAAGTCCTTAGCACTGTCCATATTCTGTGCCTTGCAGAACCCATGAATCAATGCCTTGTAAGTAAACTGATCAGGTTTCATTCCGGCATCTAACATCTTCTTTCTAACTCTCAATGCAGACCCCATATCTCCTATTTTACAATAAGCATTAATTAATGTGTTACACGTGATATTATCCGGCTCAATCTTCTTCTCACTCATCTCATTCAAGAGTTTATTTGCGTCCTTTATCCTGCCTTGTTCACATAATTTGCGGAGAATTGAATTGTAGGTAACAACCCCAGGATACAACCCTTTGGCTTCCATTGCCTCCCTTAATTGTAAAGCTTCATCAAGGTCATTCACTCTGCAGTACCCATCAATCAGGGTAGTGTATGTCACATGGTTCGGAGTAGCACCTTTAATTTCCCTAAAAAGTCTTAAAGCCTCTCTCATTTTACCTTGTCTACAATACCCATAGATAAGGGAGTTATACGTTACAATGTCGGGCAAAATTCCTCCTCTTTCCATTCTATCTTGAACAGACAAAGCTTCATAGTGCATACCCCTCCTGCAATACAATGAAATCAGTGTATTGTAAGTAAAAATATCAGGGAAAATACCTTTAAGCTCCATTTCACTTAACAATTGCTCCGCCATTTCCACATCACCAAACTTGCAACAAGCGTGAATCAACACATTGAATATGTGAATATTCGGAACAACCCCAACTTTTAACATCTTCTTATAAATCTTCCATACCATGTCAGTCAACCCATCCTTGACCAATGAATTCAAAAGCACAGTACAAGCAGGCATATGAGGCTTAAACCCATTAACCCTCATGTGTTCAAACACTTGAATTGCATCTTGGGTCATCTTCAAATTCGCATATATTATCACCAGCCAGCTCAAAACTTGGGAATTTGAATCCGGGCAATCATGGGCTCTCACCAGAGCATTCAAAACCGTCGGCGACGATAAAAAATCTCTCAGAGCAATTTTTTCAAGCAGGTTCTGTGCAGTTTTGAAGTGCCTCTGGTTGGTCAGACTGTGAATCATGGTCCATGTGGACTGCAAAGAATGCTTGTAGTTGGGAATGGATTCACTGACCCAATTGAAGAATGACCAAGAAAGAGAAGACCGATGTGGTGAGAGATATAACAGCACATGGTTGATTGTTGTTGAGGTGATACTAGAACCAATCCTGGACTTCAAAAGATTATCCCAATATCCCTTTACTACAATTGCGCACACAGTTTTGACAAACTGGGTTTCGTTGCTGAGAGAAACTAAGCCAGCCATCAAGGAAAAAAATCAAACACCATTTAAAGTGGATACGATTTACAAGTTCTTGGAGGTTCCTTCATAGTATCATCTTTATCTGGTTTTAGTCTAAAAGTCAGAGAACCGAGACTAGCATAAACTAGTTTTTGTGAAAAACTCCTCCTTTTTTTTTTTTGTCGTTTTTTTTTTTTTTTATTTTCCTTTTTTCTTTTTGGGTAAATTTATTAGTCTGAAAGTCAAAGAAACCGAGACTAGCGTAAACTAGTTGTTGTGAAAAACTCCTCCTTTTTTTTTTTCTTTTCCCTTTTTTTTTTTTTTTTGGATAAATTTATAAATCTCCTTAATTATGAAATATTATGAATAAATTACATTGATCTACCTAATGTTTGGACAAATATCACTCGAGAAAAAAAAAAAATCAATAGAAGATATTCTAAAAACAAAAAATAATTGAATATATATATAATATACTAAAGAAATCCAACATAATATACTAAAAAATGTTTTTTTTTGTTACGTACATAAGGTTACTATTGCCTTTTTTTTACAATAGAAGGGCAAAAAAGACATTTTAAATTTTGGTTAACGGCTTTACAGGACAAAATAAATAAATAAAATTTAAGGAAGTGTCGTTGAACACAAACATCAAATGTTAGAGGAGGTCAAAGTAATAAAACTTTATTATCTATTTATGTGATATTTGTCCAAATATCATGAGAGGTGACTATAAGTTACCCAAAAATTATTAAAATCTTTATTCAATTTGATTTTTTTAGTCAACAAAATACCGGTTCACTTTGAAATAAAAAAAAAAAGTAAATTATACGGACCTCTCCTATGATTTGGGAAATTACTTAAATCTCCCCTAAAAATGAAATTAATCTATACAAACCTCCATTATGTTAAAGTCAACGTCACTCAATGACAAATTTTACTGATGTCGTGTACTTCATTAATTAAAATATCCATAATACCCTTATCCCTACCATTTTATAGCATAACCGTTGCTTCACAACGTGAGGTAATTTTAGTAAATTAGATAGGTTCGTTAATAAAATTGACTGATTGTCACACATAAGTAAAATTTGTGTAGATTAGTTTCATTTTTAGGGAAGGTTCGAATAATTTTTTAAATCATAAGAAAGGTCCATGTAATTCTGGCAAATCATGGAGAGGTCCGTGTAATTTACCCAATAAAAAATGGTTGAATCTTCCATCCTAATTTGTTAACTTTTCTTTCCAAAATTTGCAAACCCCAAGCCTGGGTTAGTTGACTTTTCGTTATTAAAAATTTTTAGAATTAAAAAAAAAAAACAAAAAAAAAAAAAAAACACTCCAAGATTGTCTAAAAACTCAATGGTTTAGAAAACATCGTAAAGACACGCGAATCAAAAACCCAAAGACATTTTCACTCGTAAAAAAGTAAAATTACTATTCACCGTTGGGGCATGACATCATAGACTAAAATTTTTTACTTGGTCATGAAAGTTAATGTGTCAGCTTTAGTTATTTTTTATTTTTTGCTTACAAGGCAATTATTTCTGGCAAAATGTTTCAATGGATTTGTCAAATCCATTTGTATATTCGAAGAATTTTTATCCTTATAATTTAGTGAATGGGACGCGCACTTGAATTTATTCACTTCATCAGAGAAAATATAAACTCATTTGGTTAGACTTCAGGGATAAAAATCATAAAACAAATCAGTCTAAATAACATTTCTTTAATTTCTCATAATACCATTTGCTTTTAACAATCAATGTGAAAATAGTGGGTAAAGTGCATAGATGAGAGTTATCTACAAAATAATAATGTAATAATAATAATAAAACAAAAAAAAAATTAATAATAATAATAGTTAAGAGAGTTTAGAAATTTAGAATCAGAAGACCCATCAAGATTTTATTAGATAAATCAAATGACATATATTTGAAACTTTAACAGTTTCAGTTGGTAGTCACATAATAATAATAATAATATTGTCACTCCACTGACTCATCCATTCCAAGTATACAAGTTATTTAATTTTGAGGAATTTCTTGAACCAAAAAGCTGAGTTTTTAGGATATCTTTTCAGCCCATCTTTAAAATCGACATAGTTGATGCCAAATCTAAATGTGTAACCAGAATTCCATTCGAAGTCGTCCAAGAATGACCATATAAAGTATCCCTTCACGTTGGCGCCCTCCCTGTCAAAATTACACCATTAACATTAGTTAGATCTTATATTAAGTTATTTTAAGTTTATACATATACATACACACATCCGAGTTTTCTAATAATATATTATTAGATGGGCCATGTCTATTGACAATTGGTGGCCTATTGACACTTGGTGGTGACACACATCTAACATTCTGAAGTCGAGAGTCTGAATTTAACATCCCACTTTCTCAAGTCTGATAGTCTAAATTTAATTAATCCACCAAGTATCAATAGATCCGGACCATCTAATAATTACTGTCACGGAGTGAAATAGTTAATTAAGAACTACAATTATATACTTACTAGAGATATTAAGTTTGCTTTTATTATGAAATTTTTCTCTAGATTTAAATTGGCACATGGTATTAGAACTTTCACGTGTCCTATCTAAGATGCAGTGACGCATCTCTAATCACAAAAAAAAAAAAAAAAAAAAAAAAAAAAAATCATGATAATTTAGTTGGTTTTTGTTGAAATATATAAATATTTCTATATAATTGTGAAGCAAAATTCTCCCACTAATAATGATGATCTCGCCAATTTCCTTCTAATTATAAATATTTCTATATAATGGTGAAGCAAAATTCTCCACCAATCATGGTGCCTCCTTTGACTATTGTACACTTTCCATATTTCTTATTTTTACCGTGCCTATATATAGGCTCTTTGTACTGAAATAAAAGAGATCTGAATAATAGAAATGTAACACTTTGTAGCTCTTTGTCCATGGATTTAGGCTTTAGTGTCGAACCATGTATATACCCGTATTCTCCATCTTTCTTTCTTCCCTTTTTCCTATTTGTATTTCTTATTTCCGCATCCAAAAGTCAACATGGTATCAGAGCCTAATTTATCTTCCTAAGTTCGAAATGTTGTTAAGGATTTCTCGGTGCTAATTGTGACTTATTTGGGGTGCTGGTTTGTTCAACAGTAATATTATTCGCCTTTGTCGTGTCTTTGACAGTTTTTATCGACTTGTTTGGGTTGCCGATGTGTTCGGTAGCATTATTCTCGCGTTTGTCGTGTCTCTAGTAGATTTTTGTTGACTTAATTGTTTGGCTGTCGGTGTGTTTGGTAGCGTTGTTCTTTGTCTTCTCTCCTCTCTCTCCATTATTCACACATGTTAGTTGTCAACTCAATGGCAAGTTGGAGCATGAATGCCCAACTTAAGGGGGAGTGTTAAAATATATAAATATTTCTATATAATTGTGGAGCAAAATCCTCCACCAATTATGGTGATTCGATCAATTTCCTTCCAATTATAAATATTTCTATATAACGGTGGAGCAAAATTCTCCACCAATCATAGTGCCTCCTTTGACTATTGTACGCTGTTGATGCGAAAATTCTCACGACTTGGAACGACGGCGTTTACCTGCAAAACAAAGGCAATCACCTCGAATGGCACCGGTAGGGTGCCAGCTGAGGACCCTCCGACGATCAAGTTAGTACTTGTTATCGTATCACATAATAATTATGTAATATTTTGTTTAAAGGTTTTTTCTCGTACCTTCTTTAATGACTTGGTGCCCTATTTATGCCTGTCGATTGGAATCAAATTAGTTCTGCCGATGTCGATGGTTGAGGTCTCCCTTATCATCCGCTTGTGCTAGATAAGAAGAGATCCGTTTGTTGCCAAATTTGTCGGGGATATGATTTACTCTTTTGACTTCCTCAAATTGTGCCAAAATTATCCTTACCCTGTTAAACCACGTCATATTTCATTATCCTTGATAATAAAATATTATCAGTCTTATCCAATGAAAATATTTTTCCTATCAGTTGCCCCCCATTCCCAAGTTTGCTCGTCTAGCTTTGGGAATGTGATTTTTTTTTTTTTGGCTTGCCCTGGGCACTGTTCCCTCGGGAATAGTGCCGCGGGGTTACTGTTCACTGGAAAAGTAACTTTTTTTTTTGCTTGCCCTTGGTACTATTCCCTCGGGAATAATTCCACGGGTTACTGTTCACTGGAACAGTAATTTTTTTTTTTTTGCCCTTGGCACTGTTCCCTCGGGAATAGTAGGTTTTTTTTTTTTTTTTTTTTTGCTACCCTTGGGTTACCGCGGGTAATCTTCCCTCGGGTAATTTTCCCATGGGTAATCTTCCTTGGGTAATATTCCCGTGGATATTCTTCCCTTGGGTAATATTACTTTGGGTAATCTTCCTTGGGTAATATTCCCGTGGGTATTCTTTTCTTGGGTAATCTTCCCTGAGATAATGTTACCGTGGGTAATCTTCCCTTGGGTAATATTCCCATAGATACTCTTCCCTTGAGTAATGTTACTGTGGGTAATCTTCCTTTAGGTAATCGTCCCTTTAGTACAGGACATTTTATTTACAATCCCTTATAGTACGGAGATATTGATTACGGGATTTATTTAACCCGGATCCTTTTAGTACAGGATATTTATTTACTATCCCTTATAGTACTGGGATATTGATTACGGGATTCATTCAACCCGAATCCTTTTAGTACAGGACATTTATTTACTATCCCTTATAATACGGGGATATTGATTACGGGATTCAGTCAGCCCGTCCCTTTAGTAAGGGAATTATGTTTTATGAGCTTTGTAATTCCCCTAATTTTAAAAGGATAGTCCTGGTATTTATTTAATTGTCAAATTGAATTTTTAATTTATTTAATTGATTATTGGTTTGTTTGGTTGTTTGAATTAGTTGTGAGTTTATTTAATTATTATTTAATTGGATTTTGTTTTGTTTTAATTGATTAATTGATTTATTTGTACTTGAGAATTAATTGTATTCAGTGTAATTAATTATTTTATTGAATTTATTTAATTGAGTTTAGTTAATTATTTAATTGAATTTGACGTTTCCTTCTTAACGTGTTTGTGTATAGGGTTGCACACGTATAGTTATAAATTAGGTTTACAATTCTTATATGTAGCCATCAATTATATATCATAGGTTAGTTTATGGGCCGGGTAAGTCAGTTAGGGTTTAATGGAATCTAAGATTAGTGGCCTATAACTATACGGGTAAAATTCTGTCTAGGGTTTTAGAACCCTCATGGTGGTGGAGGCAGAGAGACAAACCAGATGAGCAAGCAGATAGTCACCAGAAAATTTGGAACGACGTCGATGTAAGGCAAGTTCTAATCCTAACTCTATTCCTTAGACTCGTGTTCTTTGCATCTCTAATACAATTCTAGGAATCTATAAAGATT